CTGTTAGCATTTTAATACTTGAAAATTACAGAAGAATGACAGCATTTATAATGTGATATTTTCAGTGTATAGATAGCTGAATAACAGAATTGTGCCCTACTGTATTGTTTTACTCTGTTTAATGCCAGAGGATTTTACTAAACGAGGGGAGAGTATTGCTTTTTAGGGCCTGTTTATATTAACTTGCCTTGCCGGGTAACTCAGCTACAGTAGAGATTGTATAGTTTTCCTGACTTACTGTTTACATACAGTGTAGTGCAATATACTCCACCTGGGAAACTTTGCAACCCTATAGATAGAATGTATATCCATTGCATTTGAAATAATTGCTCAAAAATACATACAAATCATTAGGTATAAGCTAAGGTAGGTGCTTTTTCTTCCAATTTTGTAATCATGTTTTTTACTGAAAGCTTTTGAATGAACCAAGTTGTGGTTCTATTTTGCTGTTGTGCGGCAATCATGAAGTAACTTGATTTCATATAAATGGACTGCTTGTTTGTCCTGCCTGAGTGTGAGTAACTCGCCTTGCTGGGTAACTCGCCTAGTGATGCACAGATATCTATATTGGTGTATCGGTATCGGCTTATCCGAATACTAAAAGATAGAAATATCCGTAATTTGATGATGTCTTTTTTGACTTTTGTGAAATGACATGGAATATCAGTGTCGGCAAAATATCGGTCCTTCACAATCGGAATATCGGTGAATCTCCTGCATATATCGGTGCATTATTAATATACTCATCTCTATATAAACAGGGCTCAGCAGTACTCCAGCTCCAATAATCGTTCTTTATAACAATCAGAATTTTCCTGTGTATGGATTGAGCTTGCAAACTGGTGTTGTACAGTAAGAATTAACAAAAATATCCCTCCAAATTTTATTGCAACTGATACAGAACAGCCTGTTTTTACCCTTTCCTAAGCTTAACTATAAGTCTGCTTTTACAAACTGGCCCTGGGTAGCCTACCCAGGCCATACGAATCGGTCTAGCTGAAACCGTGCAATTTATATGGCAGCAGGCCTGCCCCCACTTAGTGAGGCACCTGGTAACCAGAATAAGTTTCTCAAGACTGTGTTTATATGAGAAAATGTCATCCCGTTTGCCGAGACAACGTTGATGTTTTGACATTGTTTTGACAGTTGTTAAAAATAGCTTACAGCTTAGCATCTTTGAACATTCATCCCGGCAACCGGGCTAGCTTGCTTGTGAGTGTTTATGCGAAGAAATTTGCATCCCAATAAGCAGTATTGTGGCATTTTGACAGCCAGCCAGCTTGTGGATCAATATCAACACATGATATTTTTTTATAGATAAAAATACTTACGCAGTATAAGATCTTACTTACTGGGCTGTCTCGCTAAGTGGTCCAGCCTAGCTTCCAGATACAATCACTTTGAAGTACCCTGTACAGAAGCCGGAAGCGAACCATACTGTCAGTAACTGTGTCATATGGTTTTTGACAAATTACTACATTTCTTAATATTGCATGACCACGGGATAGCAGTCTACCAGGCACTGGCCACAAAAAAATGATAACCCGAATGAGATTCACCAACCATAACTAACCCAGTTGTGTGGGACAGTGATCGCCCGACAGAAAATAAGTCTAGAACCAAAAGCAATCCAGCCATCCCTGTCTGCCTGCAGCAACGTCTCTGTTTAACATATAATTTATATAAAACATAGTTACACCCTCCTTGGCCTTGTACCAATATGAACTGGTAATTGGCCGATTATGACAATAAACCTTTTGTATAGATGAGAATGATGTTATCTAATTATAAATAATAAGTCATAAAATAAATACTTGTTATAATTATGTTTCTTTTATGTTTGAACAACTCTCGTATGATTTACTAGACGTGATGGTTCCATACACATGCTAATTGTATGCTTATTTCTTGACGTTGAATACCTTTAGACGATAATGAATGATTATGAATATTCAAATTTTTGTATTGAATACGCGTTTCATGCAATTCGCTGTCAAATCCGCCCACATGCATATCTCTACGTTTTATTGGTCGCTGGTTTATACACATGGTAGCTCACTTTATCGTTATGAGTAACAAACGGTGAATAGCAATTATTTACAGTCTCCATACACTAAATAATCTGAAAATCGTTTCGGTTTTTTAACTATCCGACCCGATCACGTCTTTAATACTGGCGTTGTCGGAGCTTGCACTAATGAATTCTCTTCTTTCGACTCTTCAGTTGGCGATTGTTCAACAACTGTGTTTTGTTGGCGACATTCTGTTGGTTTCTTCAACGAACTTGGTATTTTAATTAAATGTCTTTGATTTCTTCTATAAACACATCCATCAGGCGTTTCAACATGGTATGATCTAGAAGCTTGATCCCAGTCAATGACAGTCAACCAAGTTTTACCACGGTATATTCGCACTTGGTCTCCTTTATGCATTGGCTTCCGAGCCATTGCAGAACGATCATAATAATGTTTTTGTTCAATCTTTCGTTTTGTTAAGCAATTCTGTACGTGTCCGACGGTTAACGATCTTTGGAACCAACTGCTTACTAGTGGTTGGTAGATCTGTTCGCAATTTCGTGTTCATCAACAGTTGGGCAGGAGAACCAGCATCAGAAACAGGAGTATTCCTGTAACTGAGCAGACTTAGATAGGGATCTTCTCCACTCGCTTTCGTCTTGTGCAAGAGATTCTTCACTGTTTGAACCGTACGTTCAGCTAGTCTGTTAGACTGTCGATAGACTAGAGATGAGGTTTTGTGTTGAAACCCCCCATTTACTTGCAAAATTTTTATAGTCCTGACAGGAGTACTGAGGACCGTTATCTGATATCACCACTTCAGGTATACTATGATGAGCAAAAATAGATTTAGTGTGTTGAATTACCGTAGCGCTCCTTATATTAGACAACAGACAAATCTCGAAAAAATTGCTATAGTACTCCACTATGAGAAGATAATTTGCACCGTTACACCAAAACAAGTCCCACCATTGGCCATGCATGGACGACTTGGAATGCAGCGAGGAAGCAACAGTTCCCTTTGTGGAAGATTTTGATATTCTTGACAAGTTGAACATCTTGATACGTGATTCTCTATTTCTTTCGTCATGCCAGGCCAATACAAAACATCCCTAGCACGCTCTTTCGATTTCTGGATACCCATGTGCCCAGTTTCTATCTTCATTAACTAGGGATGTGCCGGATACTGTTTTGCCGGATACCGGATAGTACCGGATAGTAGTCTACCGGATACCGGTCAGGAGAAAACGATGACCGGGTACAGGATAATAACCAGATACCGGATAATAACAGAGGTGTAACTTAACGATTGCCCGGGGCAAGTGAATATCATGACGGGCAAGTAAAAGTTTCCTCTTGGTTGCCCGAACGGGCAAGTTGCTTTGCCGCAAAAAGCTGGCCAGCTTTCAGTTTATATTATTATTGTCGGATAGATTTTTTGCCAAATAAAAATATGATTACTCGGTTTTTACCTGGATTCTCATTTACACAAATATTCACAACGAAAAATGAACTCTGTCACTGATTTAATAAAATATCTTTTATATCCAACGATTTCGATTCGAGTAAAAGCCATTTTCGTAATTTTCATGCATGTGGTTTTTCAAATGTGCGCCCACAGTTCCACTAACCATAAGGCGTAACGAAGCACTTCATGTAAAGAAATTGTCGTACATATAAGTGCTAGAGTGAAGCGTCCGTCCTTTATGGAAGGTCAAACATCCAAATTTGGACCCAAAACAAAAAAGCGACGCTGAAGCGGCTAAAGCACACGGACAAGTAGTACACTAAATCTTATACTGAGATTTTAAGAACACTAAATTGTTTGATTATATTACGCATTGATTCTCTTTTTGGTTATTAAATGTTTATTCATGATATGATAACGAAATAAAATAATGGTGATTAGTGTTACGTACATTAAATAAGTGTACTTGATTCAAATTTTGTTTTATGTGAGTCAAAGCTAGATCTGAGGTAGTCTAGATCTGAGGCAGTAACATAGCCAATGTCACTAGTCTAATGAGTGAATACGTTGTCTCCCTATAATTTATACCGGTCCCCGTAGGAACACCATTGCCTGATGGCAAGTGGATTTTATTCAGGGCAACCAATTTTCATTCACTGATTAACCAGATACTCCCATACAACAATTTATTAGAAACACAACATTTTTATAGCTCAATTAACTAGGGCAATGCGTTTAATACAATAACTTCAAGAGTTTTTTTTCTCTTTGACGCATTTGTCTTTACCAAGGCCATATCTTATGATTCATCTTACATTGTTTACTGGTATTCAGTATATAAAATTCATGCTGTTGGCGAACGAGCAGTTCACTTCCAGGGACGCCGGAACTGGGGGGGGGGCAGGAGGGGCGGATTCCCCCCTTGCCTTTTGCTAGGGGGGGGCAGAAGTGCCCTTTTAGTTGTAAAATACTACGTGATAAATCACATTTACAACAATGCTTTTTGTACGAAAATCCTGAGATTCAGAAAAAAAATTTTCCGGAAGATTTTCGAGTTTTGCTTTATAGAGGTGCCCTTGGTGTGGGTCCGCCCCCTTTGCCTTATGATCGTTCCGGCGTCCCTGTTCACATCACCATCACGAAAAAAATATGTCGCAATTTCGTCGTAATGCAGCGCACGCTCAGCAATTGTTCGTGTTTCACAATTTTTAAACGCCAAGTAAACTTTTCCGTTTCATGGTTGTAACAAAATATCTTAGAGTACTACCCGGTAAATATCCGGCAAATTTATACCGGATAGTGCCGGATGTCTAAATTTTACCGGATACCGCTATCGGAGTCCGGCACATCCCTAACATTTCCTGACGCATAGGTTTCGGAATGATGATTTTTGCTCCTTTGAACATGATCCCATCGAGTTCTTTGATTCCATTACGACAGTTCCAATAGCACTGCGCTAGTTCTGGTGTTTCTTTCAGAGACTCGGGCCACCCATGTTTCATGCAGGGTTGAAGCTGTTATAACTCTTCATCACGCTTCGTAGAATCTCGTATTTCTTCCATTTTGCCATCAGAAACGGGCATTTCCTTTACGATACTTCCAACGTAAGATTCTAAATCTTGATCTTCCGATGGTTTCTCTTCACAGGCACCACTCCGCGATAGTGTGCCCGCAACTGGAATGTCCTTTCCAGGTTTATATTTAACGGTCACGTTATGCTTCTGTAGACGGATTCGCATTCTCTGAACTCTCAATGGGGTGGCAAGGAGGTAGTGGTGGAACTTCTCGCATCCAAAGACTAACGCTAATGCTTCTTTCTCTAATTGAACATATGCTTGCTGGGTTGGAGTTAATGCTTTCGAAGCATATGTCACAGGTTTCCCATCTTGTAGAAGCACTGCTTCTAGCCCTGACTGGGAAGCATCTAGTTGTACTGTGCCATGTTTACCGGTATCGTAGTACTTCAGAACTGGACCTGGAACTTGCGTTATGATATTCTTCATTTCGGTAAATGCAGCTTCGTGTTCCGGACACCAATTCCAGCGGGTATCTTCTCTCAGGATCGCAGTTTTCTCCGACAGATGTGGTGAATACTGAGCCAAGTAGGTGAACATGCCTAGCTGATTCTCCAACTCTTTCTTGTTTTGTGGTGAGTCATATTTCCTACAGCTGCCACTTTGGAGGGGTCGGGTTTCAGGCCATCCTCGTTCCCAGGGCTTCTCGGCTGCCTACGTTGGTTTCAGGCCATCTGCGTTGGTTTCAGGCCATCAAAGGATTTATCTTTACTTGAACATTTCTGAATCTTCTTTGGATTAAACTTTGCCCCGTTCCGTCTTTCGGCTGTCAAAGCTGCACGTAGCCTCTCGTCGTGGTCTTCTCTCGTTGATCCCGACACAAGTATGTCATCAACGATCACGTGAACACCAGGCAATTCCCCAAATACGTGATCCATCCTCTTTTAGAAGACTTGTTGCGCGGAACATATACCAAATGGCATTCGTAAGTAACAAAATCTACCAAATGGGGTTTAGAACGTTGTCAATATAGAAGCTTCTTTGGATAGTGGAACGTTCCAGTAGCCAGCTGTCGCATAGTAGAACAGTAAAATACTTCGCACCGGCCAACTTGCTGGTGGTTTCTTCAAGTGTGAGCATTTGATAGTGTTCCCGTTTTACAGCAAAATTCAAATCCCTGCGATCTAGGCAAATTCTTATTTCACCATTGGGTTTTGGGACAACTACCATAGAGTTGACCCATTCTGTTGGCTCATCAACTCTTCGTATTACATTTAACTTTTCCATTCTCTCTATTTCGCCCTTTAATTTATCTCACAAGCTGACAGGTATTTTTTGCAGCATGCACAACGGGTTTAACGCCTGGCTTTAATTGAATGTGATATTCATACGATAAACATCCTTGACCCTTGAAAACATCACTAAACTCTTCAAGTAACTGATCACAACTGGTGTTTTCGTCCGGGTATTCACCGTTATTATAACTTTGATTAATGATAGGTCTTGCATGGCATATTTTTAAACTCAAAGCAGTGGGAGCCGTGGCATTAACAACGTAAAATTCAAGGTTATGGGCTTCGTTCTTATATTTGCCTTTCAGCTGACATGTACCAAGAACTGGAATTCTATTTCCCCCGTATGCAGTTAATTTTACTTTATTTGGCTGTAACACTTTTGTGGGCCACAGTGTCTTGTCTATCTTTAACCCTTAGGACGCCGATGGGGTCAAATTTGACCCATAAGATACTTGGGCTCCTGTAGCAAAGGTATACATGCTAAAATTATACTGCGCATGTCAGTTTGAAGCACATGACTTCCTCTTCAAAATAAAACAAAATTCACAGCGATAGCTTGAGTATTGACGATTTTACAGCGATTTTTATAAAGATTTTGGACTGTTTGTATACAAAATGGCGTCCCAAAAGGATTACCTAAGCATAAACCAACTAATGGCCACGTTACATGCCGAAAACGAGTCAGAACTCGACTCAGATTCATCGTCAGATGTCGAAGAATAAACAGATGCATCAGCTGATGAATTTCAGGCCTCTTCAAGGTGCAATGTTGATCCATGCTTCCAAGAGTCAGTGTTTCACAGTGATGACAATCCCCAACAAGTAAGTAAATGATCTAATTTTTTATTATTATAACGTTATTGATGTATTGAAGTAAATTTTCAAAAAATGTAGTAAATTTTGAAACAAAGATATGCATACTATGATATATTTATATTCACCCTTATCGAAATTTAGAAGAAATATTCTTTCTAGACATCAGCAAATTGGCTGATGATAAGACTAAAAGTTGTGGCTAGAAATTCCCCTGATGACAAGGGCATGTGATGATGCTAGAAATAAGGAGTATCAGCCATATTTTTGTTTCATAATCTTTTGTTTGATATGTAGTCACTTTCAAATTTGTAGGAATCTTGCAACAGACCACTGTACGCGGTCGTGGTCTCGTGGAAAGGCCACTGGGCATATAATATATCTGTATTTTACCTGTTGTGATAGCTAGTGTATATATAGACTGCGAGTGGTCCCTCCTTTCCGCGGGTTTAGATTTACGGGCACGAGATTTCCGGGCACAAGAAAGGAAGGGAGGGACTGCAGACAACACAGCAAGAATGAAATCCGCGTTGCCCACACAACGCAAATTTCCCATTGGTCGAAATCGATACGCCTGTCAATCAAATCTGATATGTAGTAATTATGCTATAAATAATTTCCAGAGTGAATGTTGATTTTATACAGGGTGTGTCAAAATAAAAGTAATCGAACGTCAGCGCGCTATTGTGTCTGAATTACTGCATATGAACGAGATTTTTTCATCATCGGAAAGATCAGGCTTTTAGCTGTTGAATGATATGTTCTTCATGCCAAATGGATACAAAATAAGCAAGTACGAGTCTGATAAAAAATGCTAGTCAGATAGCATATTTTCACCATTGTAATATGCGATTCTGACTAACATTTTTTATTGGACTCGTACTTGCTTATTTTTTTTCCATTTGGCATGAAAACATGTCATTCAACAGATAAAAGCCTTATCTTTTTGAATATGAAAAAAAGTTTATATGCCGAGTAATTCAGATACAATAGCGCGCTGAAGTTCGATTACCTTTTTTTATACACCCTATAAATAAACATGACATTAACGGTTTCCTATTGGATATGATGATACACTCCTTTATTACTCTGCAGAAAGTATTTCCGATCTACAGTCAAAACTCAACTCCGACCTACGATCCCTTTCTGGTTATCTTAACAACAACCTCCTTACACTCAATCATGACAAGACAAAGTTCATCATTTTCGCCGGTAGACAACGCCTAAGATCCATCTCCAACATCAACATCTCTATTTGCAATCGGACGATAAAACAAGATCAATCGTTGAATTATCTGGGCATCACAATTACCGAGAACCTTACCTGGCATGAACATATTGAGAAATTAATGGGGAAAATCAACCAAAGATTGGGATTGCTGCGCCGTGTGAAATCTTTCTTACCGCTGGATGCAAGACAGATTTTCTATACTTCGACAATACTACCGCTATTTGACTATGCCGATGTAATTTGGGGCGATAAAAACAATTCAACACTCATGAACTCCTTGCAAAGTTTGGAAAATAAAGCAGCTAAATTAATACTAGATCTCCCTCCTCTTTCGTCGGCAACCGAAGCTCTCGCTACATTCCCCTTGTCAACTCTCTCATCTCGCAGATATAAACATCGTTGTATCTTTATCTACAAATGCACTAACGGACTGATAGATTTCGACTTCAATCTCACAACTAACAGCAGAATCCATTCCCACAGTACAAGATCGTGTAACAACCTCCATCTCCCAAAAGTCAACACCAACTGGGGCAAACATAAACCAACCTACCTCGCTTCGAAAGACTTTAACAACTTGGACGTTTCCGTCAGAAACATTGATTCTTTGAGTCAATTTAAGTCTTTACTAAGGTCACATACCATACCATACCATATAACTATTCTTAGCTGTACTTACTATATATAGTTAATTATTCGTTTCTTTATGTCGTGACGTTGTATATTAATTTAATTGTATATATTTATATAAGTAAATTTTGTTAATGATTGTATCATGCAGGACCCCACTGAAAAACACATTAGTGATGTGGGTATCCTGGATAAATATAATTATAAATAAATAAATATAGTAATGTTTATGCAAAGGCGGAGCCAATTTGACAAGAGCGAAAAGTGGGCGTATTTCGTTTCATGCTGTGTTGTCTGTGGTCCCTCATTTCTTCGAGGGACCACTCGCGGTCTAGTGTATATACGAATAACCTTTTTTATCTGTATACAATATTATAAATTTTAGGTATGATGTCAATAATAAAGGTAATTCATGTTTTTACAGGAATTTACACCATTGGTTTCCGGCAAAAAAAAATTGATAACTTATGTAATAATCGTGTTACATGTATAATTATGGTATCATTTTGAAGCCAAATGAATTATCTCTTCATTTATATGGACTAAATTACCATTCACTTCTTCTATGCTCCACAAAAGGTCCATAATGTCCGACTTTTTTAGATACCCGCACCCCCCCCCCCCACCACGAAAATATGGTTTGACTCTTTGCGATACCAATATTCAAGAAGTTTATAGCTATAGCTTCAAAATGATATATAATATGTATATATAGGATCATTGATTGTCTCCAAAAAATTAAATCAATGCAAATAAGTTGATCATTAAAATATTCATAAAAACAATTCGGCTCCCTAAGGGTTGAGTCACTCCCTTTGACTAACAACTTCACGGGTATTTCATCGTTTATATCACTAACATCATTGACTATACCCCGGTAAAGAAATCATCGTCCTCGTAACTTAGATTGTTAAGAGCTTCAACTTCATGCACCGTCTTACTTCTACACATTTGTTAATAGTGATTAAATTTTGTACACTTAAAGCAAACTTTACCTTTAGCTGGGCAAACTTGCTTACCCACATGTTTATGACCACAGCAGCTACACATCTTCCAGATTCCCGTTCTTTCCGACTTTGCTGCCCTTGATCGTCTTGTACTGTACTTTGTCTTTACTTGATTTACGCCAACTTTTATTCATTGCGTGCACTGCACTGCCTTGTCGCTTTCTTCAGAGAGGTCTTTCAATGATGTGTAGATATTTCAATTCCCCGTTGATAAGTCGAGCGTTTCGGCTTGCAAAAGTTTTTCTTTAATTCGTGGATTGTTTGCACCGCAAACAATTGATTCATTGATAATATAATTGATCATCCCCAAAAGGGGCTTTTCAGAATCAATATACAATTTAAATACAAATTTACAATTACAATTGATAACCACTTATGAAATGTACAATACCTATAACTACATATTATTTGAAAATTCGCTTAGTAAGTTTTTTCTCAAATTAACCTTAAAACTAGGTATAGTATCACATAGTTTAAGTTTTAGAGGTAAATCGTTCCAAAGTTTTACTACGCGATACTGGAACGATTTCTGACCGGTTGCACTTGTAAAAAGTGGGATGTTCAGGTGATCTGATTGTCTAGTTCTTCCACTTATTGTTCCCCTGGTAGTGAATTGGGAACTGAGATACGACGGTGCCATTCCTTCATACACTTAAACGCGAACACTGCATGCATCACGGTAGAATAACTGCTTTTTCACCGGTATCCAATTTAGTTCTTTCAGTATTGGAGTCACGTGATCATACTTTTAAAGACCACAAATAATGCGTGTCGCGAAATTCTGAACAAATTGAAGTTTCTTTAGGTTTCTTTCGGATGTCGTTGACCAGACGGAAGAACAATTAATAGAGCTTGCTAAACACCAACGTATGAATAATTCAAATAAGCAGCTCCTTGTCGAATACATGTTTAACTCTGTTGATTTGTCCTAATATAGACATGCACGGAGATGTAACTTTAATGGTATGTTCGTTGAAATCCAGATAAGGATCGAAAATAACTCCCAAGTCCTTGACTGTTTCACTTGGAAACACTTCTTTACTCAAAAGAGAAATATGAAAATTTTCTGGCAGTTTAGAGACCAACTGCCTGCTTCCATATCAAGTTAAGTGAGTTTTTCCAGGGTTCAATAATAATAGATTTTGGAAGCACCAGTTGTGGATTCTTACGAGATCTTCATTTACAAAGCTCGTAGCTAAGTCATAATCCCTAACTGAGAAACACTTGAACATTTTTGACATAACATTCAGCTGGACATTCAAGGGGTACTGAAGGTAAATCGTTCATATATATATATATATATATATACTGAGTAGCACAGGACCAATTATACTACCCTGTGGTACCTCTGTGGATACGTCTATGGCATCAGAGAGTGTAGAATTAATACGTATACTCTTTGGGACCGATTTCTCAAATAACTTGTAAACCATATCGCTGGAAACTCAGAGAGCGTTTTATGTTGTTATTTTATTTCCTGAGTACGGGTCTTCGACCAATTTCATTGTTATCTTTTAGTTTACTAATCAAGATATGGTGATCTAGACTGTCGAATGCTTTGGACATGTCTAGAAGCGTGACAGCAGTTAGTTTCTTATCATTCATTGCTTTTAAGATGATGTCAGTTGACTTTATTAATGTTGTCTCGGTGGAATACCAACGTTTGTTTCATCTTTGGCATGCTGTTAGTCGATTATGTGATGACAGGTTGGGCATGAATTGCTTCAAAGCCACTTTCTCGCATACCTTAGACAGGATGGATAATAATGATATAGGCCGATTGTTTTCAGCTTCTTGATGATTGCAATCACTACTTTTAGGGATTGGTTATTACTTCATCACTTTTCCAGATCTTGGGGAAAGCTTGGTTAGTAAAGAAACCTTCACAATGGATGTTAATGGCGGTAAAATGTATGGAAGGCTATCCTTAAATAACTCTTAATGAAATCTTGTCACCCCAGGGGCCTTAGCTGTTGGCATTTCGATGATTATCTAACCTGAGTATCAGGCCGTACTTTTTAGGGCACAGGCACGCCTGATCGCGGGCGAAGGGGAGAAAAGTACGGCCTGACACAAAAGTGGCATACAACACGGCCGCTCATGTTGTAAATAGTACTAAGTTTCCGAACGTTCAATATCAGAGCGACTTTTGTAATTACGATTTTATTAAACTTTATAAACTGGCTAGTCATATACAAACTTAGAAACCGAAATATGCAATGAATCAATTCAGTATTTTATATAGGCTGAATTCTGTAGTCTTCAATTAGTATTTATAAATCTATTATCTACACCCGCAGTAATGTACACTGTAACTTTAAACTTTGTCTTGACGTCTTTGTCCAGTATATTCCCCGTGTTACAGTAACACCTGCAAACGCTTGTAAAGTAATCAAAACATCGCGAAATATTTTAGGTGATATTGTTCGATTTTTCTACACTGTCTGTTCAAAACAATAGCTCGACAAATTCTAACAGATTTTACAATTGTTCCATATTGTAAATTTGCAGACTGGTATATCGGTATAACAAATATATCTCTCAGCTCTCGCATATATAATCGGTTTAAGATATGAATTCGTACAAATGAATATATAAAATTTCAAGATTTAATAAATGTTTTGAAACGTTTAACGACCCAAGCCTCAAGGTCAAAGCCAAAGGTCAAGCCCCACTATTTTCGTGGGTAAAGCTGTAATTGGCTAATTTTGAGGAAAGGAATTCTTGGCCAAAGTAAGCATACCTTACGTGAGGGCTCAGCCCGCTAAGTAGGTATGCGTAGGAGACTAGGGCAGCCTATGCTATAATTAGATTGTTGTTTTCGTTGTGTGAAATTTAAATTTCTCCTGCGACATTTTGATTGGATACTAAATATAAACTTTGCTGTGGGCGGAAAGCGATCAGGTTAAGTTTTGTGTCAGGCTCTATATTTGTAAAATTGAGCCTGATAGTCAGATTAATGATTATCTGCCTGACCTCCACTTGTGAAACAACGTTGAATGCAAATTGCTCACTCGGGGGGAAAGTTCTTGGGACGAAGTTCGTCTGGTTTAAATCATAATTAAATTCCTCGGCCATTAAATTAATTTTCTTTACAGTACTTTTCCCGATTGAACAAAAATATTTGTTAAAGTCATTAGCAATAACAATCCGATCTCGAATCATCTCTTCTAAAAGTTCTCTGTAAGAACAGTCATTCGCTAGCCGCCTTAGTTCCGTTACATATATTGGTCTATATTCTCGTTGCTTCGTTGATCTCTCGTATTAAACTTGCAGCGTAGCACCATAACATTCTGCTTGGGATTACAATAGGCTTCGACCCATCAAATAACGCTTCGATCTTGTCTATTTCAGCACTCTTCAACGCCCAAGTATTGTTGATATCTCTGCCTTTTTGATCAATGTTATTAACTCTTTTAGGACCTCTGGGAACTGTAATTTATGCAAACGTCCGAGCATGCATAAAATTAATTTGAAATCATACAAAGAAATCGCGTTTGAACTAACAAAATGGCAGAGAATCCAGGTTTTCAAGATCTCGCGTTGGCCTACGCATGCACCAAATTTCTTGAACTTCGATATAGCTTGTGCGAGACAGTCCATATTTTAACTCTCTGCTATTAAATTTTGTTTCTGATGAAAATTTTTTGTGCAAGGCCTTTTTTGGGGTGTTTTAGTAACAGCTTTCCTACTCTAAAAATGCTAGCATTTTAAATAATTTTAGTGCTAGATGTACCAGAGAACGTTAAAGTACATAGGCTTACTGAAGGTTTTCGCAAATGTCGCGCGCGTCTGATTTTAGTGGACTTTTTCCAAATATGTAGTTTTTTTATACACCCATGTATGCAGCTAAGTCAATTAGGAAAAAGATATGTCGATGATCTGTGGTTTGTCTTTGGGTCATGACCTATACACATGCAGGACAACCTTAGTTGACTTAGCTTTTTTATATAGTGTAGATTGTCTTACCTCTAAAATACTTGCTTAGCTATATTGTATTATTATGCCTCATATATACCATGAACGTGTTTCCATATAGATTCTCAAAGCGGGCGATTTGGTGGTTGTCAGAAACATGCGGGATGTGGATAAAAAAAGGGAAAATAGATACACGCTGGGTTGCCCCCCATAAGATAACTGCAAACGTTGGAAAAGGAAGATGTAGACTGTTCACTACTGTTGAACCAAGAATCTGGGAAACACCTAGCGAAGACGATCAACAGTCCCCGCCTTAAGAAGTATATGCAAAGGAAACTTGACGAGAGAACGACCGAAACGCAAAGAAAGGAGAAAAAGTCATTTCACATGCGCCAAAAGAAGGCAAGTATTCGCAATAGAGGATATTGTTAAAAATTGGTCAAATTTATGGAGTTTGTGTGTCTTATTATTTGGTACATAACAATTTATTAGCATTCTGTCAACTTATATATATATATATATATATATATATATATATATATATATATATATATATATATATATATATATATATATATATATATATATATACAGTATGCTGATAAACTGATAGTAACTGCCCTCGTAATAAGGCACAAAAACTGCATGACGTAATTTGAATATGACACCTTTTCTATCATGATCAGACCAATGACGAGTGAATTAAGGCTCTCGGTCTAAAGAAAAGTAGCCTGCGAGAGGCTCTCTGAGGAAAGAGAGCCTGCAAGGATCCCTATGATGATTGCGTGCCGCCCTTCAATTATGATGTCACAGGTAAATTAATAACAACCAATCAGCGCAGACCGAAATACACTACGATATTGTAAACATAAACCGATTCGTTAATAGTTCCGTATACAGACCGCCACTGTGGCATACTAAAAAAGTTAAAACGGCTCGAGGTTTTACAGTGTAATATATGAAGTTGTACTTTTTATTACAATCTGCATGTGGTTCTCCTGTAGGCACAGTAAGTTTAAAGTTGTATATTACCCGCTAACAAATTTAGTTATTTGGAATTGCTTCGTGCTGCAATATATAATATATACTGTATACAGTCTATATATATATATATAGTAATAATATAACTTACTGAAATTTATGGCTTGGTGAGACATGGACATATAGGATATACCATGGACATTGGACATAATTTAGTAATATGTTTATAGTTGAAATTTTGCAACAAAAAGTGGAATTGCAGTAAACATGCATGTGCTAATTATTGTAAACAAAGTGACGAGTAAATTACTGTACATTTTAACGCCGCATACTTATAAATATTAAATAGTCAGTATAACATTGTAAAACAAGCTTAATACACACAATATGCACTGAATATTATCAGAATAATTCCCAATTTTGTTTCATAAAAGAGAAGCGATATAATGCCTTGTCCCTAGATTTCGGTTTGCGAAGTTTGCAGTCTTTCTTAAGCATTATTCTTAGCCTAGGAGTCAGAGAAGCCCAGGACACAATAAAGCATGCAAGCTTTTAGTATTCGTCTTTATATGAATACTATATTAATTTACAGTAAAAAGTCAACCAGGATCAAAATACATGACACTTTTATCTCCGCATTGCCGCAATTCCGAAGCTTTGCTTTGCTCGGTTTTACAAACGGGAAGTGCAAGTTTATGGAAGCTTGTCAATCACTTCATATCAATCAGTTATCAACGAATCAGAGCTCTGCGTCCAAATATTGGACGCATGCACGCAATCATCATAGGGATCCTTGCAGGCTCTCTTTCCCCAGAGAGCCTGCTCGAAGGCTAAAAGAAAAGTGATCGCAATTATATTCTCCCAAAAAAGAATGCTGAACGGCAGACTAATAAACGGAGCTCAATAGATCGGTGCACAAGTGAAGGAATCCAAGTCTACAATACTGGTAAAATTCACTGGTTAGCGTAATCTATTGGAGGGCTCCCAGTAAGTGTCTACGATAGCTTATATGACTTGACTGAATCAACCGATAAACAATTAGCGCAATGCTATTACAATTGCATCAACCAGACAGGCCAATTACACATTGAAATGGCTTCAGTCCAGAAGCAGAATGGATCCACCGATTGTGGTCTATTCGCTATTCCAAATTGGGTTTTAAGTAGCAAGTGGAAATAAGTGTTCTTTCACCAGTCAGCAGTGAGAAATCACTCGGTCGATTGCCTGGAAAAGAAAGAAATCTTGTCGTTCCCTCGTGCTCGAAAGACGGCTGCAGTGGCAAAAACAATGAAAAACAATACGTTGTGCTTGTCAATTGCCAAAATATGGCGACATGGTCCATGCAGAGTAATATTTGTGACATGCAGTGGCGCCGCCAGCTCGGTAATTTGGGGGGGGGGGCAATATTCATATATTCGTGTTCACAGACCATAAAAACCATCGATTTCAAAAGAAGTTAATAATGCAGAACACGAAGATATGAATATTCTCCCCCCCCCCTCCCCCAATTATCGAGCTGGCGGCGCCACTGGTGACATGTGGTACAATTTACTATATGTACGAATATACACCGAAGTCCCAAAGAATACGAAGGATAGCTTTGCCAGTCATGTACGCCGCTTTGTTAATATCAATTGAACTTTGATATATGTACAAGAACTTAACTTATAAATTTAGCTTAGCATTTTCCTTGTAGTATACTGTAAGATAAAACTGCTTCAGTGCAATATTTATTAATCTAAATGTCGCTTTAAAAATCGTTTCGTGTTCTTCGCTTAAAGCTTAAAGTTAAAGTGATACAGCTATTATGCATTAACGCTGTCTTCTGCAAAACTGGCCAAATTTAATCAAACGCGAAAAATGGAGTTTTCCTTCGGATATGAACGCATCATGTATTCGTTGATGCAAATTGCGACAGCGCATTTGCAAACGACTATAAATATGAGCAGCCTGCTCAGTAAGACATCACGTGAAGCACTACACTGGCAAAACACGTTGGTTTTACATCTGTAAATATCTATTATCAAGTCTGTTCTAATTGTAGTTTCGTTTCTTGTTTTGTGCCACTTTGTTTTTCTTTACTAGGCCGTCGAATCCTTAGTCCAGCAGACATGTGCGTCCGGTGTGGTAATAGAGGCCACTGGAGCTCAAGCTGCACCAAGTTTGCCTCGACACGATCCAGTCAGCTTGAACCAGGATATTTTCCCCAATCGACAGCCCCGAGCAGCTCAGGGGACAGAGTCAACGTTAGCCGTTAATCCATTGCACGATGTTTATGAAGACATAATTCAGGTACAACTTTCCTTTAATACCTGTGAATATAAGCAGCCATCTAGCAATACCCCGGTCGCGTCTCTAAAAGTAAAAGGGAGACTTAGAGCTCATATTCAATTTTGGAAGGATATAAAAGCATCAGATTTCATCATTGACACTATCCAGGAGGGATACAAGATACCTTTCCGCGAATCTCCACATCCAGCTATTTTTTTTTAAATAACTCTTCTGCTTTTGATAATTGGCAGTTTGTGTTTGATTCTATCACTCAATTACTAATTACTAACAGAATTGTTCAGGTGGAAGGACATGACTTAATAGTTTGTAACCCACTTTCCGTCGCTACTCAGCCAGGTGGGAAACAGCGCTTGATCCTCGATTTAAGATATGTGAACAATCATGTCTACAAGCAAACTATAAAATTTGAAGATTGGCGTACAGCCTTGCAGTATTTCGAAAGCGGGTCCTTTTTCACAAAATTTGACTTGAAATGTGGGTACCATCACTTGGATACTTTTTCTGAGCATCAGCCCTATTTGGGCTTTAGTTGGAAGATGAATGGCGAGACGCCAAGTTATTTCATGTTCACTGTCCTGCCATTTGGGCTGACCACAGCTCCCTATATATTCACAAAACTGTTACGGCCTATAGGTAAACATTGGCGCTCTCAGGGGATAAGTAATTGGGTTTATTTAGACGATGGATTTGATATCGAAAGAGATATAGAAACTTGCACAAGCAATTCAGGCTTAATTAGCTCGGATCCGTGTAGGGCTGGCTTGTTAGTTAATGACGAGAATGCGTCTGGCAGCCCACCCAATCTCTTACTTGGTTGGGGTTAAACCAGAATGGGGCACAGGCACTATTAGTGTTACTATTAAACGCATTGAAAAGGTTGACAAGGCCCTTCAGAACTTGGTCTCCCACCCTAAGACATCTGCACGAAAGTTGTCTTCGGCTGTAGGAATGATTATATCTATTGTTCCAGTTATGGGTAGCTTAACCCGTATTATGACTCACCATTGCCAAAAGTTGATAGCTTGCTCACCTTCGTGGGATTCTTTATTCGACTTAGATCGGTATTGCATTCTGGAATTGGAATTCTGGCAGAGCAACCTTAAAACTGTTAATTGCCGCTCCTTTACCCCTAAACCAGCGGCCACCAAAACATTCTTTTCTGATGCTAGTCAGCTAGCTATAGCTTCCGCTACACATTCAGGGGATGGGAAACTAATAGCCCACCGCATGTTTGCAGAATTAGAAAGGGCTGAAAGCCCTACTTTCAGGGAATTGGCTGCCATAAAGTTTACCTTAGAGGCGTTTGAGCCCGCTTTACAGCATTCTAAGGTAAAATGGTTTACAGACAGTCAGGCAGCCGCCAAAATCATTCAAGTAGGGAGCATGACATTTAATTTGCATCAGATGGCTTTTGCCGTTTTTTCCATTTGTCTTAAAGCTCGCATTGAGTTAGATATACAATGGATTCCCCGCTCTTTGAACGAAAAAGCTAATTATCTGAGCAATATGATCGATTAAGATGATTGGGTTATCACGCCCCAATTGTTTAGGTTGTTGGAGGGAAATTTTGCCCGCATACCGTAGACTGTTTTGATGACTATAACAATTGCAAAGTGCAAAAATTCTATTCAAGATTTTGGATCCCTGGCGCTGCGGGCATAGATGCATTTTTTCACTCATGGGGGTGGGGGGGGGGCTTTTAGTACCCCCGGTCTCTCTTGCTTCTCGGGTGTTAGTGTTTATGCACAGTTGTAAAGCCCAAGGCACCTTTGCAGTGCTCTACTGGCCTTCTGCCCTTCTCTGGCCTCTTCCTATTTCTCGGTTTTCTGCCTCCATCAAGGATTACATTGTATTTGTTGGTAACTCAGTTTTAATGCATGGCAATAATCGTAAGTCCCTTCTTGGTTCCAGCTCGTGGACAGGGTATCTCACAGCTTTTCGTTTAAATTTCTCGTAGT